GAACCCAGGGCCTTAAGCATGCAAGGCAAGTGCTCTACCACTGAACCACCTTCCCAGCCCCTAACCAAGACTCTTGATGCCAGAATCTTCTCTGCTAAAGACAATATCAGACTTTTTCTACCCACAAATAATATGCACATTTTCTGAGGAATAACTCTTCAGACATATGTGAGCCATTTCAAAGATAGTGTTCTTATATTATCGTCTGGTTTTGTCCAAACATGTTTTATCTCCAGGGTTTTGATTTATGTTCCTGTTCTCCACATCAGAACATTGAATTCATAGATGTAACAACTTACAAATGAATAAAGAGTAACACAAAGCTTTTTCCTCTCCCACTGAGGTCCTTAGGACAGGTGTTAAAGGGGCACAGTATGTGAAAAATCAAAAGCTCACACCGACAATGACTTCTAAGTTGTTTGAATTTTCTAATTGATTTTTTTCGCTCTAGAAATTTTGGACAGTGTGGAACTTGGGGAACCAGCCCATAAGAAAACAGGGACCACAGTGCCAGAGTCTATTCATTCTTTCAGTAAGTTCACCCTCTGAGGAACTGCACCAATGACTGAATTCATTAAGAAAATAGCTGCTAGCTTTGAGCACAAAGAGGCTCAGGACAGTGCGCCCAAACCCCGAGTTCAAGCTCTAAGACCAACAACAACAAAAAAGAACAGAGAGAGAGAAAGGAGCTGCCGTGTGAAGTAGGGAAGGGGAGGGCTCAAGGAGATGAGGTAACAAATCTGCCTGGGAGAAGAAAGGCTCCATGAATTTCTCCTTGTATTCTGAGGACAAAGATGGGCACAAAGGAGGACTGGTCAACATCCACGAAAATGATGGATAAGACAAACAGGGGCCCCATAGAACCTGTGCTGGTGAGCTAATCCTGCTGCTATTTCTGCTCTTGTGCATTCCAGTTGGAGACGGTTTGGTGAAACCCGAAGCCCTTAATAAGAAAGCTATTCAGATTATTAATAGGGTTCGAGACAAGCTCACGGGTACGTATGTTTGTTCAGGTGCACTTCTGGTATAGGACATCTGAGAGGAGCTGCTCTCCCCTGGAGTGGGTGGTCAGCCCCATCTCCAGTGGTGCAGTATCCGGGGTGTGGTGTCTGGACTTCAGCCTCCTATGGCTTATGGAGTGTCTCAGGCTCCCCCTCTGCTTCTCCTTCTGGTGACCAATTTTACATGGAGTTCTTTACTTTTTTTTTTTTTTGGGGTCACTCACAGGGCCTGAACTCTGGGCCTGGGCACTGCCCCTCAGCTCTTCAGCTCAAGGCTAGCACTCTACCATTTGAGCAACAGCGCCACTTTTGGTGCTTTTTCTGTTTATGTGGTGCTGAGGAATCGAACGCAGGGCTTCATACATGCTAGGCAAGCGCTCTGCCAGTAAGCCACCTTCCCAGCCATGCCTTTAGTTTTTTAGTCAAGTGACATTGATCAGCACCTATACCACTATATGCTCAGAAACTATCCTGGAAAAAGGCCCCCCATTCCAGAGCTGCCCTTCAACACAAGACCTCCCCGACCAGGCACACGCAGGCGGTGGAGCACCAGCCTATCCACGACAGAAAGTTGACCAGAAGGAACTAGGAATGTGTTGGTGGTAGCAGGTGCAGGTGTTTACACTTCTCTTCCTCAGGTCGAGACTTCTCTCATGATGACACCTTGGATGTTCCAACACAAGTAGAGCTGCTCATTAAACAAGCCACATCCCATGAAAACCTCTGCCAGTGCTACATTGGCTGGTGAGTGCATCAGCAGTGAGGGCCCAACCCTGTTCCCAACCTTGGAGCCAAAGCTGGCCCGAGTAGCCCCAGGACAGTTAGAGCTGCAGAGCTCATGCTCACCAGCTGTGCTTCTTGTTTCACAGGGGAGGAAATAGAAATTTGGAGGGCAACACCAAACTCAGTTAACATTGCATCAAGAAGCAGGATGCTGGTGGTTCACACCTGTCCTCCTAGCTACTCATGAGGCTAAGATCTGAGGGTCACCCTATGAAGCCAGCACAGGGAACAATATACTCAGAAGTGGAGCAATGGCTCAAGCCATTGCTCCAGCCTTGAGCAAAAAAAAAAGCTCAAGGACAGCATCCAGGCCCTGAGTTCAAGCCCCAGAAATGGCACCCCCCAAAAAAAATTGCATTTCAAACAATGGCTTAGAATAGACTGCCTGTTAGTTTGTGAGGTTTCATCAAGATTTTTGTTATACTTCAGAGACAAAAAGGACATAGGAAAAGACCCCAGATCAGTGACAGAGAGAGGAAGATGAAAAGACAGATGATCTGAGAGTCTAGCCTTCAGGACCCCAGGCATCCCATAGCTGATTGCTGAGGCATGTTTAGAGGCAGAAACTTGAGAGAGGAGATGCAGAAAGCATCCTTGAGGGATCTCATCAGCGCCAGCCCTCCACAGGAGATGTCACGTTGAGAGCTGGGAAGCTCAGGGAAGAAGTCTCAGGACTGTCAGGTGGGTGGTGGGATGCAGGCAGAGCTGTGCAGAGGCTCAGCTTGCTAAACTGGTCCTTTGCTGTCTGTCCTCCTAGGTGTCCCTTCTGGTAGCAGGAGCCCCAGCATGCCACAGCGTCTCCTCTGAGGCTTTCATACTTCGGTCTGTGCTTCCACTAAACTGAAACTGTGGTCAGAAAGTTCAACCTAATTCAACATTTTGAAATGTAAATGAAAAGAACTACTGTATACTCCAAGTTGGTTTGAACCAACTTTCTAGCTGCTGTTGAAGAAGATAAGGTCAGAAACACAAGGCTTGATTATGTTCCCAGACAGTGAAACACAATAATACTACATACATCAAGCCATTGATTTGGGGGGAACAGAAGATCCATAACTTAGAAATACGGGTTTTGACTTAACTCAAGAGAGCTCATTGTAAGCACTTACTGACAGACCAGCCTGGTCATCCCTGTCAGCGGGGCACAGCAGACTCAGCACAGTCCATCCTGGACTGTAAAGAAGAGAAGCGGCCTTCAGTGCTCCGCCCACCCTCTTACCTCAGTGTCCCTGGACAGTAGCAGCATTTGGAGGATGGGCCAAAATGGGTGACAACTGACTGAGAGATGCTGCGACTCCCTTCAGTGCAGGATCTCCCCACCAAAAGGGGCACAGGGGCTCATAGCACAGTGGAGCCCACTCCGGTCCTGCGCTCAGCAAGAGCTGAGCACTATGCCCGGAGCAGGGACTCTGAGCACAAGGTCCACCCTGGAGGAGCTGAACTCGGAGGGAGATTTACTGGAACAGGTGGGGCCCGTGAGGAAGTAACTACATGCACAAAGTATAGGGGCAGCATCGTGTAGACATCACGTTGTATCAGAATTGTTTTTTGTGCCAATAAATGACATCAGAATTTTAAAAACATGCACATGACTGAGTTTTAATTCATAGTTTTTAGTGAATTCTAAAAAGGAAACTGGGTACTGGTGGCTCACACCTGTAATCCCAGCTACTCAGGAGGCTGAGATCTGAGGATCACAATTTGACCAGCCTGGGCCAAAAAGGTCCCATGAGACTATCTCCAATTAACCACTCAAAAACTGAAAATGGTTCAAGAGGTAGAGTGCTAGCCTTGAGCAAAAGAGTTCAGGGACAGTGATGAGGCCCTGAGTTCAAAGTCCCCTTCCCCCCCCCCCCCCATACTGAAACGCTGGGCCTCCCTGGCCGAGCCTCCCTGCTGTGCCTCCCAAACTCTGCCTCCCTCCCACCTCCCCCCCCCCCCCCCCCCCCCCCCCCCCCCGCCCCAAACTGACAAAAATTCTAAAAGGGACAGTAGACTACTTGCCTGATATCCACAAGGTCTTGGGTTTTGTTCCCAGCACTATATTATGCGTACACGCACACCCTCCAGTGTTATTAATATTTACTACTAGGGACTACAAAGAAGACAAGGACAGTGTAATACCGCAGAGAAAACAGAGGCCACCAACCCCAAAGTACTGAAAGGAGCGAGCCCACAGGTTGAAGTGATAATTCCCTAGCAACCCAGGAGAACCTCAAGGAAAGAGGCCACTTGGGATGAATCTTAAGGAATGGCACATGAAGCAACTGGGGACATTCCTGGCAACAAAGGAATTACCCAGCACCAAGATTTAAAAGTCTGAGGGACTGGGAAGATGGCTCAGTGGTAGAGCACTTGCCTTGCATGCCTGAGGCCCTGGGTTCGATTCCCCAGCACCACATAAGCAAAAAGAAAAAAGCCAGAAGTGGCGCTATGGCTCAACTGGTAGAGCGCTAGCCTTGAGCTGAAGAGCTGAGGGACAGCACCCAGAGTTCAGGCCCCAGGACCGGACCCAAAAATAAAATAAAAGTCTGAGACCTGCAGCACACAAGCATGCAAGAAACCACCCACCCACCAAATCTTATGGGTGGGCCTCATGGCTCAGCATGTATGGCTTGGTGGTCAATGGAGAATAAAGGGAACAACAAGGAAATCCAGGACTTAAAACTATACATATCTTGCCAGGCATCCATTCAAAACTAGCTGGGGCAGCAGAAAAACAGGCAAACCTCCACCTCCAATTAACAATCAAAAAGCCAGACTGGCCGGGGACCAGTGCTTTATACCTGTAATCCTAGATACCCAGGAGGCTGAGATCTGAGAATCATAGTTCAAAGCCAGTCCCGGCAAGAAAGTGTGAGACCAAAAAGCCAGAAATGGAGCTATGGCGCAAGTGGTATGGTAGAGAACTAATCTTGAGCAAAAAAGCTCTGTGCCCAGGCCCTGGGGAAAAAAAAAAAAAGACTAGCTAGGCATTAGTGGCTTAAGCCTGTCATCTAAAGCCAGTCCAGGCAGGAGAGTGCCAGCCCTGACAAGCTAAGGGATAGCACATAGGCCCTGAATTCAAGCCCCAGTACTAGCATGCACATGCACACTCATATGGATAGGTAGGTAGGTAGATCAATGTACTAATAGCCATGCACCACTTCCTATGTTTCTTTACCCACTGTTATATTTTTATTTCATTAGCTTTTATTAGGATATGTTAATATACAGGATATCGTGCTAATTCTATGCATCTATGATGTACACAGTACTTTGAACAAGGTCATCTTTCATATTGTATTTCCTCCTCTTACATCTTAACTACTACCTGAGTTTCATCCCCAGCACTGCCCCCCCCCAAAAAAAAGATTATTTTAAATCCTAATGGCAATCCTAACAATAATTTTAATATACCTGGAAGGTCTCATAGTAATCTTAGATTCTCTACAGCCTATATTATCACCTATTGCCTACCCTAAAAAAAGAAAAGGATTAACATAATGTCCTCGGTTCCAGATGAAATGCCTGCAGTGATGTTATCTTTACGGAAGATAACGCCAATAGAATGAATACACTGAGGGGGGAAAATGGTGACTATCAGGTCGTTCAGATTCCTTAGCATGACAAATTTTAAGTTTTGTCTAAACCAAGTGTAGCTTTGTGGTGATGAAATACCAAAGGCCGAAGAGCAGCGACGGAGGTCCTGCAGAGCAGTCTGACCCTCCGGTCCTGAGTGGTTTCGGTAACCTGTGTGAAGGAAGGATGCGTGGATGACTGGGAGACCGTGTGCAGTCGCCCTGGCGCGTGTCAGCGTCCCCGGCTGCAAGCCAGCACTCTGCCGCGTGAGCCACACCTCCGACCGGCCATGGGAGTCCTCCTCCAGATCTCAGCCCCTGGAGTAGCAGGGTTTACCGGCGTGAACCACCCGGCCCGCCCAGCGGCTCGCCGGTAATCCCAGCTAATCCCGCCGCGCCCTGGGTGGGGAAGAGCGCTCGGATCTCCGCGCTCCCACCCCTTCCCGCGGGCGCCCCAGGACGCCCAGCGCGCATGCGTGCTGCGCGGGACCCGCGCCGGCGCGCTCTCGCGAGACGAACTCTGCGGACTGGAAAGATGGCGCCTCCCAGCCCTCGGGATCCCCAAGCTTCGTCGGCGACCAGCGCGACAGATTCCGACGGGGAGATGGTGCTGCCCGGCTTCCCGGACGCAGACAGCTTCGTGAAGGTGAGTTTGCGGAGACCCAGCGGGCTCCGGGGGCCGCCCGTCCTGGCCGGAAGCCGGCCCGGGGCCTCGCGGGGTCGGCCGCAGCGCCACCACCAGGCCGGGGCTTCCGGGGCTCGCGGGGCCCGGCCGCCCAGGCTCCTCCCGGGCCTCGGCCCCGGGGCCCCGCACCCTGGCCCGACCGCCACCCCGGCTCCCTCCCAGCGTTCTCCTGTACCCGCTCTTCAGCTTTAACCATGGACACACGTAGATCCAGGTCTTAACCTCGGGCATAAATAACCCTTACAAAGCTCCCGAGCCAGCCCGGGCAGGAAAGCCCTCGTAACAGTCTTATCTCCAGTTTATCAGCAAAAAAAAAAAAAAAAAAAAAGCTGGAAGTGGAACTATGTCTCAAATGGTAGAGCACCAGCCTTGAGCAGAAAAGCTAACAGCCCTCAGGCCTTGAGTTCAAGCCCCAGTACTTGCCTAAAAAGCCGGGGGGGGGGTGAAGGGGAGAGAGAATTTTAGCTCCAAACTTAGTTTTGTGTTCACCATTGAACCCTCGGGGCCCGGAATGGAATTTAGGTAGACTCACTCTGAATGTTTGTTGGATGGATGTAGATTGGATATATTTAGCACTTGATGTAGCCAACAATATACGCAAATAGACTTTCCCCCCACCCTTAAGAAATCGATTTGCTGAATGAATGAGATCCATGTTTAAATATGTACCTTCTTTTCTGGATTTTGACAGTTTGCTCTTAGCTCTGTGGTGGCGGTCACTAAGGCCTCTGGAGGCCTACCACAGTTTGGCGATGAGTATGACTTTTACCGAAGTTTTCCTGGCTTCCAGGCATTTTGTGAAACACAGGGAGACAGGTTGCTCCAGTGGTAAGTACTGTATATCATTGCCCCATATTAGTGAAAGAAGTGAACATACATAAAAAGGAAGCTAATTTGACCTAAATTTGCTCTCCTGAAACATGTTTTTGCTATAAACAATAATAGAATGTGAAAATGATATAAAATATTTTCATTAGAGAAATGCTACTTTGTAAAATTTTAGTTTAACTTTTAGAAAGTATACTGTCTTTTTTAGTGAAAAACTGGGAAAGAGTGACATTGTCCAGAAAGGCATGTACTTATTACCTTATTATGAAACTATAACTCCTCTATACATCACTTTTTTTTATTTTGGTTGGTTGTGGGGCTTGAACTCTGGGCTTGGGCACTATCCCTGCACTCTTCAGCTCAAGGCCACTGCTCTACCGCTTGAGCCACAGCGCTACTTCCGGTTTTCTAGTGGTTAATTGGAGATGAGTCTCATGGACTTTTCTGCTTGTGCTGGCTTTGAACTGTGATCCTCAGATCTCAGCCTCCTCAGTAGCTAGCATTACAGGCGTGAGCCACCAGCGCCCAGCATACATCACCTTTATAATAACCAAAAGGAATTTTTTTTAAAGTGTATGAGGTCACTGGTGGCTCACGTTTGTAATTCTAGCTGCTCCAGAGGCTGGGATCTGAGGATCTCAACCACCAAAAAGCCAGAAATGGAACAGTGGCTTTGAGCAAAAAAACTCAGGGACAGTGGCCAGACCCTGAGATCAAGCCACTAGACCAGCACAAAAAAAAAAAAAAGTGTATTAGGACAGATAATACACAACAGATTTTTAACTGTTATGTGGTAACTAATTAGAAAAGCTCCCAGATTTGACACATTAAAACAACGAAGGCAGCATATATTGTTTACATACTATCATATTTTTTTTAGTATTTAAAGAAGCATTGTCAGGGTTGGAGGCATGGCTCAGTTGGTAGAGCGCTCAAGCACTAGCCATTGAGCTAAAACATCACATACCAAGTTTAAGTCCTGGGCTCCAACCTACAAAAAGAAAAGAGCTGGCACCAGAGTGCCTCACACCTATAATCCTAGCTACTCAGGAAGCTGAGATCTGAGGATCATGGTTCAAAGCCAATCCAGGCAAGAAAGTCCGTGAGACTCTTATCTCCAATAAACCACTCAGAAAACTGGAAGTGGCCCTGTGGCTCAAGTAGGTAGAGTGCTAGCCTTGATCTGAAGAGCTGAGGGACAGCATCCAAGCCCAGAGTTCAAGCCCCACAACCAACCAAAGAAAAAGAAAGAAAAGTTTTTATTTGGATAATTTCTTTCTACAATTAACAGATAAAGAAAACAAGTCTATGGGGGGGAGGGGGGAGGCTGGGAAGGGATGGGAAGGGTAAACAAAGGAGGAGGCTGCAATGCTTGGTAAGAAATGTACGCATTATCCTGCCCATGCAATTGTAACCCCTCTGTACAGTATGTTCACAAATAAAATAAAATAAAATTAAAAAAAAAGAAAAAAGAAATAGAAAACAAGTCTGGGTAAGACTAGTGAATTGTTCAAGGCCACACAACTGGGTGTGTGTAGAGGGGGTGTATGTGTTGTTTTTACATTTTAAAATCATAACTCAGATTTACATTCAACCTTGCCATTAACATACAGGCCGTGGTTTTTTTGTTTGTTTTTGCTTTTGCTTTTTGTAAACTCTGGGTCTCATGCTCAAGGCTGGTGCTTTACCACTTGAGCCACACCTCTATTTCCAATTTTTACATGCTTAATTGGAGAAAAGAGGCTTGAGGATTTGTCTACCCAGGATGGTTTCAAACCTCAGTTCTCAGATCTCAACCTTCTAAGTAGCTAGGATTATAGTCATGAGCTCCCGGGACACCACTCAGACTGTATTTATTTATTCATTTGATTCTGGGGATGGAACCCTAGACGTTGTTCATGCTACACATATACTCTGCTACTGAGCTGCACCCTCATCCCCTTCCCCCTAAGTGTTGTTTCTCAAAGGTTGGTATAAGTCTGTAAATTTCTTTAGTTTCATCAAAGAATGTGATAAATCAACTGAGTCAACTCACTTGAGTATTCTCCCAGCCTGTAAGCTGATGAAATAAGGTATACAATCTGACCTTGAGTTTTTTTGTTTTGTTTTTTCCCCTCAGCATGAGTAGGGTAATGCAGTACCATGGGTGTCGCAGTAACATTAAAGATCAAAGTAAAGTGACTGAATTGGAGGACAAATTTGACTTGCTAGTGGATACCAATGATGTGATTCTAGAGAGAGTGGTGAGTATTCTACCACATACCCAACTAACAAGTGAAGAGCCGCGGATCAGTGCACAAAGGGAGACCCAGGCACTTTAGATAGAAAATGAAAAGAGTTTAGCATTTCCCACCAGAAAGAATATTCCTCTGGTTAGTTAATGTTTTCTTACTCAAAACAACTATAGTTGTTCAAAATATAATGGGGTTGTAGATGTGGCTCAAGTGGCAGAGCACTTGTTTCATAATTCCAGGGCCCTGAGTTCAAGCCCCAGTACCACTAAAGAAAAGAGAAAAATCCCCCCCTGTGGAAGCCTGTTTTTCATGAGTCTGATTACACTTTTTATCTTCTAGATACACAGATCCTGTTTGTATTGCGAGAGAAGAGGCCTGGGCTGGGAATGTGGCTTAGTGGTAGAGTGCTTGCCTAGCATGCATGAAGCCCTGGGTTTGATTCCTCAATACCACATAAACAGAAAAAGCCAGAAGTGGCACTGTGGCTCAAGTGGTAGAGCACTAGCCTCGAGCACAGAAAAGCTCAGGGACAGAGCCTAGGCCCTGAGTTCAAGTCCCAGGATGAGAGGGGAGGGAAGTCTCTGCTGCTTTTACTATTTACACTGTCAACAAGCACATCAACCTACAGGAATAGTAGGAAGCTCTATATTATTCTGCCTAACATACTATCCATTAGGCCTAATTCTATACCAAAACATTATGGAAATACACAGAGGTCATCCAAAATAAACCTGACCTGCAGCCTGTGACAGTCTTTGGGACACTGAAATCTTGCCTGACCCATGAGGTCTTCTCTACGGGCCTGTATGCCAGTCGGCTGTAACCTGGCTATGCTTCTGCTACTAGTAGTGTTCAGACTCATGTTCCAAATCTGCCTTGACAGGGCTTCTTGAATGCTAGGCAAACACTACTACTAAACTCTTCTCCCAACCCTGCACACCTATATCTAAAAGGCTTCTAAGTTATTTTGGATTTTCAGTCCAATTTAGAGCTAACAAGAGAGTCAGTCAAGGGTCGGGAGGAACTGACAAAAACTATGTATGTTTATAGTGTATATTATATTTTGATACGTACATTACTCCTGTAGTCAGAATTCTGTGATCACAGTGTCAGGTAATTAACTTTTTTTAACCTCAAAAAAATTTTTATTGCTTCTTTCATTGTTAGGGTATTTTGCTGGATGAAGCATCAGGCGTGAATAAGCATCAGCAGCCTGTCCTTCCTGCAGGCTTGCAAGTGCCTAAAACCATAGTGTCCAGCTGGAACCGGAAGGTGAGGCCTTGGTAAACTAGAGCCCCTGCTGTCAGCTTGATGGCTGGGCTTTTGTTCATTCTAATTGTAGCTTGATGAACACAGAACTGGCCACTGTCCCTTTGAGTTGTTGTTGGGAACAGACACACTCTAATTCCACCTTCTTTTTCCACATTGCACTCATTACCCTTACATTGTCTGGCTGATGGAATGTTCTTGTCTCCTCTGAAGACACGAGTTGGAGTTTATTTTTCTAATTCACCAAGCTGCTATGTGCTAAAGCATGTATTATGCATTGATCTTAGGCAGGAGAATATGGCAAAAAAACAAAATCTGAAACGTTCCGACTGCTTCATGCAAAAAACATCATCCGACCTCAGCTCAAGTTTCGAGAGAAAATTGACAATTCCAACACACCGTTTCTTCCTAAAATTTTCATCAAGCCTAATGCTCAGAAGCCCCTCCCTCAGGGTGAGTAAACATTTGAGCCTTTCCTTCAATCCAAGGAATTCTGCTCCCCACTAGCAAAGGGCAGGGACCTCTTGGATAACTTCCCCCTCCCAAACTAGAAAAGACACAGAGGTCCCAGTCCCTGTGTGATGGTGTCTTGTTTGGGTCTCCAGCTCTCTCAAAAGAAAGGCGGGAACGGCCCCAGGATCGTCCTGAGGACTTGGATGTACCCCCAGCCCTGGCAGATTTCATCCATCAGCAGCGAACCCAGCAAGTTGAGCAGGACATGTAAGTGTTAATTGAGTTCAAGTTCAAGCCCCTACATACCGGCACCAAAACAGAGACATGTTATTCAAACCCACAAGGGATTATATGTTCATCATCCAATTAACTACCAAAAAGCTGGAGAGCAAAGAAAGCTCAGGGACAATGCTCAGGCCCTAAGTTCAAGCCCCAGGACTGGGACCTCACCCCCCCCCCAAAAAAAAATGTAAGACTAGAGTTTTTTTGTTGTTGTTGTTGTTGTTGGGGGGGTGGTCATGGGGCTTCAACTCTGGGGTTGGGCACTGTCCCTGAGCTCTTCAACTCAAAGCCAGTGCTCTACCACTTGAGCCACAGCACCACTTCTGGTTTTCTGGTGGTATATTGGAGATAAGAGTCTTGCCGGGCACTGGTGGCTCACGCCTGTAATCCTAGTTACTCAGGAGGCTGAGATCTGAGGATCACAGTTCAAAGCCAGCCCGGGCAGGAAAGACCGTGAGACTCCTATCTCCAATAAACCACCAGAAAACTGGAAGTGGCGCTGTAGCTCAAGTGGTAGAGCGCTCACCTTGAGCTAAAGAGCTGAGGGACAGCGCCCAGGCCCAGAGTTCAAGCCCCACGACCGACAAAAAAAAAAAAGAGTCTCACAGACTTTCCTGCCTGAGCTGGCTTTGAACCATGACCTTCAGATCTCAGCCTCCTGAGCAGTTAGGATAAGCATGAGCCACCAGCGCCTGGCTATGACTAGCATTTTAATGATCATCTTATAAGGATGATCAAGATCCTCTGATTTATTTGTAGTTACCATGCTTTTATCAAGGGAAGATAGTCACAGTGGTCTTTTCCCATTTGTTTTTACTTTATATTGGAGTAGTTGGTTTCTTTTGAGAATTACAGGATTCATCAAGTTTTTTTTGTTTCATTTTATGCAGGTTTGCACACCCTTATCAGTATGAACTGGACCACTTCACTCCACCAGACTCTGTGCTTCAGAAGCCAGAGCCACAGGTGAGTTCCCCATCTTAGTTACACTGGGTCTTGAGTGGCATGGAAAGAAGAATCAGTCACACCAATGACCTCATGTAATCTTGATGTCCCTCAGACGATCTTGGGGGCGGGGGAGGGGTGTGGCTTTGGGTCATTCCCTGGACTCATAATTTACTTTGTATTTTAGTGGGAATCGTTTTTAATGTTCCTCTCTCTTTCTTGATACCCTTTACTGATTCAGTTATATAGACCTGTAGAAGAAACACCCTGCTGCTTTGTTTCCTCTCTGGACCAGCTCGTGGAGCTCAATGAGAAGCTCCTAAATTGTCAGGAATTTGCCGTAGACTTGGAGGTATGTTCTAATTAATTAAATTTTTATATTTTCTGTGAGCTCACCTACTGAAGAAGTGTAAAATTAGCAATAATTTAAATCTCTCTCATCATGTAGTTTTGCTCTGTAGTTGGCTTTTTGAAATCAGTAAAGGAAGGGCTAGGGTAGTTCCGCAGTAGGGTATGTGTTTACCATGTACAAGGTCCATTCAAACCCCAGACGAAAAGAAGAAAAGGAAAGCCTAAAGAATCTTTTTTCCACTCTTGCCTCTTTCTGTGTACTTTAGCACCATACTTTTGTTTATTTAATTTTTGTTATGGGTCATGAGGCCTGAACTCTGAACCCAGGCATTGTCCCTGAGCTCTTTTTGCACAAGGCTAATGCTCTATCACTTTGAAGCACAGTGCCACTTCCGGTTTTTGAGTGGTTAATTAGAGATAAAAGTCTCACAGAGACTTCTCCTGGGCTAGCTTCAAACCATGATCCTCAGATCTTGGCCTCCTGAGTAGCTAGGATTACAGGCCTGAGCCACCGGCGCGCTTTTTTTTTTTTCACCTCTTGTTTCCATTTCCTGGAATTCATTTCAATAAATCCTATATCACATGACCAGAGGCATTGTGCCTTTGGGTTCTGCCTATAACAGAATCTTCCTTTGGTCTCCCTGTGTAGCATCACTCTTACCGGAGCTTCCTAGGACTGACCTGCCTGATGCAAATTTCCACCCGAACAGAAGACTTCATCATAGACACGCTGGAGCTCCGCAGTGACATGTACATTCTCAACGAAAGCCTCACGGACCCAGCTATTGTGAAGGTGAGCCAGCACCAATGGCTCCCACCTGTGAGGCAGGACGCAGTGCTTCCTGCTGGGCAGTTCCAACTCTAGGAGGAATTGCCTCAGCTCCTACCTTAAGGTTCCGTGTGCTAAGCTGCTACAAGAGCCTACAACATCAGAATTGCTTAAACTAAAGACACTCAAGCTAGAAGAGTGTGTTTGTCAGTGGGCTGGAAGCAGCTTCAGCCTTACCGCTACGCAAGTAAGATTATACACTAAGGCTACATCCCAGATTAATAGTAACATGTAAAACTATGCACATCTTAGTCCCACTGGCTTCTGGTTTCAGTGTCTGGTAACAGAGCTGTAAGTTGTGCTGGTGTGAGGTGCATGCACGGCTTTTTGTGTGTAGGTCTTCCACGGTGCCGACTCTGACATCGAGTGGCTGCAGAAGGACTTCGGGTTGTATGTGGTGAACATGTTTGACACTCACCAGGCAGCACGCCTTCTCAACCTAGGCCGACACTCACTTGATCACCTGCTGCGGCTCTACTGTGGTGTGGAGGCCAACAAGCAGTACCAGCTAGCGGACTGGAGGATCCGGTCAGTCTGTGCATGATAAGGAACGGTGGGTGGCAGAGGAAAGCTGCAGGCTTATTGGCCTCATTCCTGGAGACACGTGTTCAGTCTTCAGTGTGTTTGAACTGGACGCGAATGGCGTTGGACCCCCGGATGTGTTCTGTGGTACAGAACAATGGGACATTTTAGGATGCTAGTGGGGAATTTGCAGTAGACTGCCTCTTAGAGATAGTGATCAAAAAGGCATGCCCAGTTGATATCAGCCTGCAGTTGGGGGGGGGGTGATTATGTGAGAGGTGTGAGAGGAGGCTAAGGTGCAGGGACTTGGCTGTGCTTGCTGGGAGCCTGCTTCTTTCTCAGCACTGCAGCTGACACAGGAAAGTCCTCTGAGCTTTCTTCCCTTCCCCTCACACCAGAACTTCTAAGTAGGAAAATGAATAAAGCCCAAATATAAGAAGGAAGTTTGTACTCTGAAAACCACTTCCTGTGACTGGGCCCTGGGTCCATGCCATGCACAGGCGGTATGCTGAGGGATGCTGTCCTCTGCCACACCACATTTCTGTGCCCATCCCCAGTTCACAGATGAGACTGGTATGCCCAAGAGGTGAAGGTTTGTCATACTGAGGTACAGGGAGTGCTGGTGTATCCCTGGTATTGGCTAGAGAAGAATGTTTGGGGGAGCAGTAAGAATCTTTGTGCTGGGCACCGGTGGCTCATGCCTGTAATACTAGCTACACAGAAGGCTGAGATCTGAGGATCGCGGTTCAAAGCCAGCCCGGGCAGGAAAGTCCGTAAGACTCTTTATCTCCAATAAACCACTAGAAAACCAGAAGTGGCACTGTGGCTCAAGCGGTAGAGCGCTTGCCTTGAGCTGAAGAGCTGAGGGACAGCGCCCAAGCCCAGAATTCAAGCCCCATGACCGACCAAAAAAACAAAAGAATCTTTGAAATCAGAATGCACTCCTTGAGTAGACAGGAGGGTCGCTGCAAAGGAGCAGTCACGGAAGCCATGTCCTTTGTTGGAACTCTAGCCCCCTGCCAGAAGAAATGCTCAACTATGCCCGGGACGACACTCATTACCTGCTTTACATTTACGACAAAATGAGGCTGGAACTGTGGGAGCGAGGCAACGACCAGCCCACCCAGCTGCAAATGGTGTGGCAGCGGAGCAGGGACCTGTGCCTTAAGGTATGATGTTGTCAGCCGCACAGACCCAACACTCAGGGTACAGTGTGGTCAGAGCCACACAGACCCCAGCCTGATTCTAGTTCTTACTTTATGCAAGAGCCAAACATTTTGAAGAGCTCAGGGCACAATTTTGGCTATGTTGTTTTTGTATTTGTTTAGTGCTGAGACTCTACCTGAGCCTCATGCATGCTAGGCAAGCACCCTGCACTAGACTGCGAACCCAGCCACATGGCTCTTGATATTTCCTAACATTTTGCAGAAATTTGTCAAACCCCTCTTCACGGATGAGTCCTACCTTGAGCTATATCGGAAGCAGAAGAAGCATCTGAACTCGCAGCAGTTGGCCGCCTTTCAGCTGCTATTTTCCTGGAGGGACAAAACTGCTCGTAGGGAGGATGAGAGTTACGGGTAAGGCTTCTGGATTGAGGCACCCTGCTAAGGGGAAATAGGGCCTTTTTTCTTTTCTCTTTTCTTGTGGTGAAGGCTGTTTATCTGCTGCATTATGTAGCATTTAGTGGAACTTGTTAGCTGGATCTGATATGATGCTGTTGTGTATTTTTTTTTCTTTCAGATATGTATTGCCAAACCATATGATGCTAAAGATAGCTGAAGAACTGCCTAAGTAAGTGTGGGAGCCGAGTGGTGTGCTCTGCTTCATCAGTAGAGGCGTTCTGTTGACTCGGAGGACTAATGCTCCATCTTTTTTTTTTTTTTTTGTTGGTCGTGGGGCTTGAACTCTGGGCCTGCGCGCTGTCCCTCAGCTCTTCAGCTCAAGGCAAGCGCTCTACCACTTGAGCTACAGTGCCACTTCCGGTTTTCTGGTGGTTTATTGGAGATAAGAGTCTCATGGTCTCTCCTGCCCGGGCTGGCTTTGAACCGCGATCCTCAGATCTCAGCCTCCTGAGTAGCTAGGATTACAGGCGTGAGCCACCAGCGCCCAGCTTAGTGCTCCATCTTGGAAGGTAGCAAGTTCAGGGAATCCAGCGTCCTTGCCAAGGGCTGCCACATTAGAAGGAAAATGTCTGAATGGGATGTTTTAGGGGTTTTGCCTCATGTCCAGGTCAGGGTAAGTCTGAACCTGTAAAAATGTCAGCCAGGTGCCAGTGGCTCACACCTGTAATCCTAGTGCTCAGTTGGCTGAGATCTGAGGATCGTGGTTCAAAGCCAGCCCAGACAGGAAAGTGCGTAAGACTCTTATCTCTAGTAAACCACCAGAAAACCAGAAGTGGCACAGTGGCTCAAGTGGTAGAGCGTTTGCCTTGAGCTGAAGAGCTCAGGGACAGCTCCCAGGCCCAGAGTTCAAGCACCATGACTGACCAAAAAAGAAAATGTCTGTTTCTTTCATCTGCAGTTCTTCTCTTTTATAGTCTCATGATTTTCAGCATAATGTTAAATATAAGCAGAAATACAAATCCACAGCTTGATGTTAATGCCCTGCAGAATTGAGGCTCAGCAATGCTAGGGGCTTATCTCTACCTCTTTCCACTTGCAAATCAGGAATCCTTGTGGAGCTTGCTACAGCAAGGAGCATGCATGCACATAGCTGGCCAGGCTGCCCTGACACAATCTGATTTTATGGTCCTCAGCTTGGCCATGGCCCTCTGGCTTTGCTCAGTCCCTACACTTACTTGGGAGCCTTTTAAAGGCGCTGCTTTTTTGATAAGTTATGTGTGTCCTTCCTTGTCCTCAGGGAACCTCAGGGCATCATAGCTTGCTGCAACCCAGTTCCACCCCTTGTCCGACAGCAGATCAATGAGATGCATCTCTTAGTCCAGCAGGCTCGGGAGATGCCCCTGCTCAAGGTGAGAAATTGACAATTTCTTCGAGGGCTGCCACCCAACCCAACAGGCCTGTTCTTTGTTGGCTAGCACCTGACCACTGGGGCTCATGTCTTCCTTTCTAAAGGAAGGGAGCCGGGCACTGGTGTCTCACGCCTGTAATCCTAGCTACTCAGGAGGCTGAGATCTGAGGATCACAGTTCAAAGCCAGCTCGGGCAGGAAAGACCGTGAGACTCCTATCTTAAATAAACCACCAGAAAACTGGAAGTGGCGCTGTAGCTCATGTGGTAGAGCGCTTGCCTTGAGCTGAAGAGCTAAGGGACAGCACCCAAGCCCAGAGTTCAAGCCCCACAACTGACTAAATAAATAAATAAATAAAATGAAGGGAGTCCTGGGACTTGAAATTTTGTGGGTGGGTCTTCCTGGATTTAGCTGCTACTTGTTGCTGTCATTGCTCTATAGGGCTTGGGTTTGAAGTCAGCCTCCACATGGCAGACGCACTCTACCACTAAGTTATAACCCCAGCCCCTGCAATTCTGTATGATAGTCAAGAAGTAAAATTTGGCAGCACCAGTGACTCACACCTATAATTTTAGCTATTCAGGAAGCTGGGATCTGAATATCGTAGTTTGAAGCCAGCTTGGTCAGTTAAGTACGCAAAAATCAAAAGTGGAGGTGTGGCTCAAGTGTTAGGATACCAGCCTTGGATGAAAAAATCAAGTGAGAGCACGAGGCCCAGAAGTCAAGCTCCACTACCAGCACAAAAAATAGTGTAGGGAGGAACTAGAATACATCCTTCTTATTTTATGATCTTTACTTGAGCTGGTAATATCTAGTGGCCAAGCCAGTTGTTGGGGTCAGTTAACCCAGTGGATTGAGTTGGAGTAGGGATCCAGGGATAGAGAGTTCACCCTGGAAACCAGCAGTGATCTGGCATGAAGTGATCACACTGTCCACACATCCTCACAGAGGGTTGAGGCAAGCACAGAAAGAATCAGAAGAAAAGGCCAGTGAGGCCAGGTGCTGGTGGCTCATGCCTGTTATCCCAGCTACTCAGGAGTCAGATCTGTAGATCATGGTTCAAATCCAGCCTATGCAGGAAAATCCAGGAGAGTCTTATCTCTAATAAACTACCAAAAAAAAAAAAAGCAGAAGTGGAGCTGTGGCAAGTGGTAGAGCACTAGCCTTGAGCCCCGGAACACATGCACGGGCACGCACACACAAACAGCTTAGGAATGGGAGATAGGAAGCTGTGTCAAGGTGAGCCGGACTGTAGAGGCATCACCTGGACAGCAGCTACTGTGGAGGTGGGATGCAAGGCCACTCACCCAAATACAAACCTCAGAGGAAAGAGAAGGAAGGAGAGGCCTGCAAGAGAAGAGAAGTTGAGAAAGGCTGATCTGGGTGGGAGGCGCTGAGGCTTAGACAAATGTAGGTGGAGGTGGGAATCCCTTGGGGATTTTCCCTTTTATTTAAAGATCTTCACTGACTTTACTTTCTTTCCATTATGTCATTGAACAAACACTTCATTCCATAAAATAAAGGAAGTGTTTTCTTGATTTGTGTTTTTTTTTAATTTTTTGAAAATATTTTAATATTTACCATTTTGTTGCCTGTGCTATTAATATACACATGGGGGGGTGGGTCCAGTCGTGGGGTCTGAACTCTGGGCCTGGGCGCTGTCCCTCAGCTCTTCAAGGCTAGCACTCTACCACAGCGCCACTTCCAGCTTTTTTCTTTTTTGCTTATGTGGAACCCAGGGCCTCATGCATGCAAGGCAAGCGCTCTACCACTGAGCCACCTGCCCAGCCCCAACATACACATGTAGTAATAAATATACTACCATTACATAGAATGCAACATGTTGTTTTTAGCATTTATAGCTGATTAAAATTAATGCTGTTATTACCTCAAGAGAGATACAAATAAATATCATGTCCAGATTCCAAACTAAAGCTATAAGGTTGTGCATTTTATTGTTTTTGTATTTTAGACTAAGTCCCATAAGATAGCCCAGACTGGCCTCAAACTCAAGTGTGCCAGACTGGCCTTCTAACTCATACTCCTCTGCCTCCACCTCCCAAGTCCTGGGATAGTGGTGTGAACCATCATACTGGCCTTGGTTTGTTTGTTTGTTTTTTGTCAGTCGTGGGGCCTGAACTCGGCCTGGGTGCTGTCTCTCAGCTCTTCAGCTCAAAGTTAGCACTCCACCACTTGAGCCACAGTGCCACTTCTGGCTTTTTCTGCTTGTATGGTGCTGAGGAATTGAACCCAGAGCCTCATGCAAACAAGGCAAGCACTCTACCACTGGGCCACCTTCCCAGCCCCTGGGCTTGGTTTTATGTTTTATTACAATATTTCAAATGTGTTGGTTTAGCAGTGATATATCAATATATGGTCAATCATATTCATAATTTTTGGAAGATTTTTGGCCCAGAAAGAATTGAAAAGGAAGCTGGGCACTGGTCACCTGCAATCCTAGCTACTCAGGAGGCTGAGATCTGAGGATCACAGTTCAAAGCCAGCCCAGCCTGGGCAGGAAATATCATAAGATTTATCTCCAATTAACCACTTGCAAACTAAAAGTGGAGCTCTGGCTCAAAGTAGAAGAGCACTAGCCTTGAGAAAAAGAGCTCAGGGACAGTGCCCAGGCCCTGAGTTCAAGCCCTGCAACTGACAAAAAGCAAAATAATTGAAAATGAAGTAGGAATAAAAACCTTTGCAGTTGTATTTCAAAATGAATGTCAGGGTTAGAGGCATGGGTCAGTTGGTATAGCAGGAACCAGTTAGTGAAAGTATCAGATACCAAGTTCAAGTCCTAGACCAGGAAGGAGGGAGGGAGGGAGGGAGGAACATCTGAGCTCCTTGGAAACCCTCAGGTCACTCTCCTCATAAAGAGCTCTGCTCTTATCCACCAAGTGGTTTGGTTTTGGTGGTACTGGAATTTGAACTCGGCAGTCACTCTACCACTTTAGCCAAGCCCCCAGTGTGCTTTGCTTTAGTGAATGTTCAGCTAGCAGATCTATCGCTTTTTGCTGGGGGCCAACTTCTGACTGCAATGCTTCTGCCACAGCCTCCCAGTAGAGCTGGAATTAGAGGTGTGCCCCCATCCGCAGCATGTGTTTTTTTGAGGTGGAATCTTACGTTTTGCCCTGCTGGCCTGAACTGCAATCCTCCCAATCTCTGCCTCCCAAGTAGCTGGGATTACAGGCGTGAGGCACCGTGTTCGGCCACCAAGGAATTCTTGAGCACCACAAAATGGCAGTGCCAGGCACTGAAGGGATGTGAGGATGGAAAGACATCTGGGTCCCTGCGAGCCCTGTGAAGGAGTCTGCCGGGGAGCACGTGCCAACGAGTTCACACAGCTTTCCTGCATTGCCCCTTCCTTCCTCCTTAGTCTGAAGCCGCGGCTGGGAAGAAGAAGAGTGGAGCACTGCCCAGTGCTGAGGTACGGCACCGCCTCTGCCCTCGCACCTGTGGGAGGGGCACACAAACCTGACGGCCTGCGTACGGACTTCACATGTGCCCTTCTGCTTCTCCTTGCAGAGACTGGAGAATGTTCTTTTTGGACCTCATGACTGCTCCCACGCCCCCCCAGAAAACTACCTGGTCCCCCCATGTGGCGGTAAGCGGAGCCCTCTGGACTGGCGGGCAGGGCCAGCTGCTGCACTCAGAGCCCTCAGGGTTTGACTCTGCTTCCTTCTGTGCCTCTAGGTTCTGGGCCGGCTCAGAAACAGGCGAGCCTCTTTGCCGAGGAGACCTTGCTGGACACCAAATGCCTGCTTGCTACAGCCGTGATCTCCTTGTTCAGTGTGAGTAGCAGGAAAGCCACGAGAGCACCACAGTGGCCTAGGGCAGGGGGCTCTGGCAGACAGCCTGCCAGGAGTGTCCGTGTGGAGAGATGCGCTCCTGGTCACGCATGTGCACACATGGCAGGGGCTTCTGTTCAGTGTTATGTCAAGAAACCCTGTGGGACAAGTTGCCCAGCAAAGGTGCCCGACAGGGGCAGAATGCACAGGATGTCCACTGAGCTTCACGACCATACACATCAGACCTCGCTGGCCACACATACACTTTTAGGTGATAAGCTTTCTGTGCTGTGGCTGCTTAGAGTGAGGAACACGGGCAGGCTCTAAGGGCAGATCCTTGGTGCTCGACCTGGGAGAGGCTGCAGTGGTCCCAGTTGAGGCTGTATGTCCTTTCTTTTTTTTTTTTTTTTTGCTGGTGATGGGGCCTGAACTCTGGGCCTGGGTGTTGTCCTTCAGCTCAATGCTAGAGCTCTACCACTTGAGACACAGCGCCACTTCCGGCTTTTTCTTTTTTTTTCCGGCTTTTTCTGCTTATGTGGTGCTGAGGAATCGAACCCAGGGCCTCATGCATGCAGCTCCCACTGAGCTACCTTCCCAGCCCCTGTATGTCAATT